GAAGCTGACACACAGAGACCTCACAGACAGCGATCCCAGGCCTGAGGGGACAGAGGAGGGACAGAGAGAGGCGGCAGAGGTGCGGTGAGGAGGGGCTGCCAAGAAATGCAGAGACGGGGATAGAGAGCAGTGGGGGGGAGACGGGCAAGGAGGGAGAGGTGGAGGGGTTGGGCAAGGGAGGGGACAGAGACAGAGACAGTGAGAGACAGAGAGACAGACGGGAAGAACTAGGAAAGAGGAGAGGAAAGAAGACAGAGGGACAGAAGAATAGACAGCCAGCCTCACACACGGGAAAACTGGATTGCCTGGAAGACGCCCGCTGAGGTGGGGACTAGGGGGAGGCTGGCGGCAGATTTCTGAGCGGCTGCACCGGCTCCCCTCCGTCACCTCCCTCCCCACCCCCGGGCCCCTCCGGTCGGGCCAGGATGGCAGACTCCTGCAGGAACCTCACTTACGTGCGGGACTCGGTGGGCCCGGCCACCAGCACCCTGATGTTCGTGGCAGGTGTGGTGGGCAACGGGCTGGCCCTGGGCATCCTGGGGGCGCGGCGGCGGTCACGCCCATCGGCCTTCGCCGTCCTGGTCACCGGGCTGGCCGTCACTGACCTGCTGGGCACGTGTTTCCTGAGCCCTGCGGTGTTCGTGGCCTACGCCCGAAACAGCTCGCTGCTGGGCCTGGCCCGTGGCCACCCCGTGCTGTGCGACACCTTCGCCTTCGCCATGACCTTCTTCGGCCTGGCCACCACGCTCATCCTCTGCACCATGGCCGTGGAGCGCTGCCTGGCGCTCAGCCACCCCTACGTCTACGCCCAGCTGGACGGGCCGCGCTGCGCCCGCCTGGCGCTGCCCGCCGTCTACGCCTTCTGCACCCTCTTCTGCTCCTTGCCGCTGCTGGGCCTGGGCCAGCACCAGCAGTACTGCCCGGGCAGTTGGTGTTTCATCCGCCTGCGCTCCACCGAGCCGGGGGGCTGCGCCTACTCCCTGGCCTACGCCAGCCTCGTGGCCCTGCTGGTGACTGCCATTGTCTTCTGCAACGGCTCTGTCACCCTCAGCCTCTGCCGCATGTATCGCCAGCAGAGGCGCCACCAGGGCTCGCTGGTCCCAGGCCCCGGGGCACGGGCACGCGAGGACGAGGTGGACCACCTGATCCTGCTGGCCCTCATGACAGGCATCATGGCCGTGTGCTCCCTGCCTCTCACGGTGAGTCCCCTC